CGCACGTGGAGGAGTTGATGTTGTACATGCAGATGTCAATGGATCAGGAATTGTGAGAGTGACACTAATGACATCGTAAGATGATAGTCCGTCATCTGGTAGATTAAATGATAATTGATGGCTCTGGAAAATTAGATTAACTTAACATTGTACATTTTGTGAAGTGGAGAAATTTGAGCTTCATCTCACAACTATGACAAACACACTACACTACATATTCAACATTTTACGGGTGGCACGGGGCATTACATCTTAGTCCTCAGAGTTGACGACACATTCGCAATCTATAGCAGTTTGTTGGCCTTGAGTTCGTAAACGTCCATGGACCACAGTCTACTTACCATCAGGTTGACTGTACGCTATTTTGACTTCTCCATGATGTAAAAAAGCTTACGAAACTATAACAACGGAATAGTATTAAAGTGTATTAAAGTTTGCTTGGCGCCCTCGACCAATCGCCTTCTATTGTTCGCCAACACTTGAAAGTAAGAGGTCTGGAAATGGTTAGAGCAAATGACATTATTTCTTGTGGGAAGCCAGGTACGCCTGTGATTACAAAGGAACTTCCATTTATCCTTTAAACTCTGATCTTTAAGAAACCTGTAATAAGTAAATAAATAAATAAACAATATGGTCGAAGTTCACACTTAGTAATTTTAATATAATATATTAATACTCGTAATTATTGTATTATATTTAATTTCATGCAATTTTAATATATTACGAGTATAATAAATCTCACAATATATATTAAATAAATCAGAAAACATACGAGTAATCTCATAATTAATTATATGCACAAGAGACATAGCTGTATAGACCATGTTTGCCATTTGTCATTTTTATCGATAACAATTTACAAACTGGTATATCAAAACTATCGTTCGGTGACAGCAACAACCCGGATACAGACTCGGATCAGTCGCACGATCGAACTGCATATTGTATAAGGGCGAGTGTCCTGTGTTTGTAAACAAATCCGAAACAACACGACCGTTACTATGGCAACTATGGACCGTTATTATTGTAATAAAATTACAACAATAAGATTAAAAAGAAATAATATTATTAATGTCATTAAGAATTAGTTACATACGAAAGGTAACGCCAAACGCCATCGTTTTGTAAATTTGACGTGACAGATCTCTTATTGCGGCAAAAACTTCGCCATTTTCGTAGTGTGTTGATTCAGTCGCGCAACTAAATTTAGTCTAGTGAGCAGTGCGGTTGCAACTAGTTTTATTGTACGCCTAAGATCGCGTGGACTTATATTTTGGCACAGGGGAACACCTGCATATGGCAACTCTCGTCCGGTACGTCAGCGGTCCGTCTTTTGCATATGGTTTCGAACTATAAAATTAACCAAGGCCGAATTATAAATAAAACTTCGTTTTTGATTTTTTGGAATTTTTATTTACGTAATATAATTTTCTTTTGTGACGTACTAGATCACCGCTTAGTGGCGGTATAAAAATATCCACTACCACTCATCGTCCCGTGGATGTCGTAAGATGTGACATAGGGAAACGGAAAAAACAATCTATGGGGAAGTTCAGCAGTAGACTTTTAAAAGCGGTAATAAATGGAATGGATGGGCGATTTAGTAACATAAGTTGTGTGAAACGGTATGGTAAGATTAAAATAATAAAACCGAGAGATATATTAATTCAAGTTACACAATAACGGGTGATTTCTTAATCTCGAGAGCAGCGCCACCTACCGGGTACAATTTTGAGTACATCCAGGGACCTGTTCAAATGCACACAAAAAATTTCATCAATATCGTTCGAGCTGTTTTTGGGTTTTATCGAGACCAACGAGCAGCAATTGATTTATCTATTATACGTAGGACACTCAATAAGTTTTGAGATATACAAACACTATTCTAAATTTGCGATCTCTATATCGATTAAAAAAATTTCTTCCCACCAATACTAAAATTTTACTTGTCCAGTCACTTATCCTACCGATTATTGATTATGTCAATGTGTGTTGCTCAGACCTGTCTCAACATCATCTTAATACATTGGATCGTCTACTTAACAACTGTATCAGATACATTTATGGTCTCCGTAAATACGACCATATATCTTCTATTCGTGCTCAGCTAAATTGGCTGCCTATCCGCCAACGCAGATATGTCAGAATACTCTGCACCCTTTTCACAATTCTGAACGATCCATGTGCTCCCAAGTATCTGAAATCCAAATTTCAATACCTGGGAGTTTCTCATAATCGTTCTCTCCGTTCTTCGGCTAATCTTAAGTTGCTTACTCCTTTACACCGTACTGGTTATTTATCTTAATCTTTCGCCCTCACGGCCATCAAACTCTGAAACGACATTCCTCTTGACATTAAAAAAGTTTACAAAAAGTTTGTTTTTAAAAATCAAGTCCGTAAGCATATGAAAAAATTGTTGCAAGTTTGGACTAACACAGCTCTTATTTTCATACACATATGTATATTTCATATTTGTTCTGACATAGATAATATTTATATGTATTGTGTATATATGCAGTGTATGCATGTATATGTGTATGTGTGTGTGTATATGTATATTTATATGTATATATAATTTTTTTAGCGCTTTCTATTTTGATTACTGCTGCACCGCCTCTTGTTTGTATATTTCTGTTTAGCCTAATGGTTGACTGGGAGAGAATGCCCTATAGCATTAAGTCCGCCATATGTACAGCTTTGTGCATGAAAGATTAAATAAATAAATAAATATTCTAGATACTAAAAATATTTATTTTACGTCTTTTCAATCTCCATCATACTGTATACAAAGTTCCATTCGCCTAAACCAACTCTGAAAACACTTTTGCCAGTCTTGATCTGACAGGTCGGAAATCGCTTCTTCGTAGGTAGCCACGGCTTCTACCGCGCTTGAGAAACAATTTGCCTTTTATTTTTTCTTTCACTCTTGGGAAAAAAAGAAATCACAAGGAGCTAAGTCAGGGCTGTAAGGTGAATGACTCAGAGTTTCAACACCAGATTCCTCAATAAATGCTTTTGTTCTAAGGGAGGTATGTGAAGAGGCGTTATCGTGATGTAGCATGATACCCCGAAGCCGGGTTTTTGGTCTTCTCTCCCGCACAGCTTGAAAAGCTTTAGGTAATGCAACTGTATTATAGCATTCAGGGTTGACTGACCTACAATTTTCCAGCATTGACGTCGACAAATGTCTGTAACAAATGAGGTGTGTACATTGACTACTAGGCAACGGAGTCATTTTGATACGGTTATCTCGCTAGTAATTACTGATTTATCTTTGCGTTAATACAAAGCGCATGTAAAAAGCATTCTTATAAAAAAGGGATATTACATCTATCTAAAAGATAAGAAATACGTGAGCTACTCTTTTTATTATGAATATAATTCACCAGGTTATATAGTAACTGTTGGGAGAAAAATAGTCCGCTTGCAAGTTTCTTGCCGATTCTTCTCACAAAATCTTCCCGGAGTAGGAACTAGTTAAAGTAATGAGTAGCTTTTGATGTTCGATAATTGCTTTGTAAAAACTAATTTTGAATAAAAATATTTGACTTTGAATCGTTGAATTAACGAATGGGTAAAAAAACTAAGTTTTATCATCCATGTATACATATCAAATTCGATATCACTATACAAATATAATAAAACTGGTGACGTCATTAACGTTATTAGTATCCTCGTTAACAATTCTCGAAAAAAGCAGCAGTGGAATAACGGATTAGAACCGAAGAGTTTTCAATTCGTACCTTTATTTATTAGGTTACTGTCGATTCTTCGAAATTCAAAATCAAAACAAAAAATTGCAATTTAAAAAGTATATAATTGTTTTAATAATATTTACATCACCATAACTTACCTAATTTTACAATGATTTAAATAATCTGTACATAGCTATTATAATCTAATTAGATTTGACACATAACTTTGACACAATTTAATTTAAAACATAATTTGAAGAAAACAAAGCTCATTTTAGATTTTCGCCGCGTTTAATAAGCGGATTGGCAATTGCACTATCTAAAGTCTCGTGCCTTTGACGTTGCCTATCATTTTACGTCTAGTGCGTATTGATTGCGAAACATATATCCATGAGATTCGTCTAGAATTTTCCTAAATCGCCTCAATGACCACGGTACGAAATGGGTTTATTTTAGAAATAGAATGTGACAAACTAGCACATAGTCCATTTGACGGTGAGGGGATGCAATGGCTCATGCACGTCTACATTTCTGTTCTCGATTAAGAATCAAAATGCAAAAGTGTTGTCACCCTTGAGAACTAAATTAGTAATATAGTTGTAGCACGAATGGGTCGGTTCGACCGGGGAAGGACCACGCTCTCACAGAAAACCGGCGTAAAATAGCTGCTTTACGCTGCTGTGTTTCGTATGGTAAGTGTAGAGAACCGGAGACCCTTTTTACTGGCAAAGAGGCATTCCATCTTAGTCCTCACGGGTAAAAACGCATCTGCATCTTGAGTCTTTATTGGGGATAGATGTAGATGTCTATGGATCACAGTAACCACTTACCATCAGGTGGACTGTGTGCTCGTTTGTCACCCTATCCTATAAAAAAAACCCTTGAGAACTTAGATGGAAAGCCTCGTTTCCTGTAAAAAGGTTCTCCGGTTCTATACACTTACTATATGAAACACAGCTGTTATTTCATGCTTCTATTCTATCAGAACGTGGTCCTTTGGTGGATGAGCCGACCCATTCGTGGTACAACCGAAATACGAGTAGAGCTGCAGCGTGGCTCTACCACGGAATAATAAAACTTTTTGTTTATTGAGGTCTAAAACATATCGACTAATTCTAAATAAGTTCTATATTACATTTTTCTATTTACAACGATTACAACTCAATATTATTTTTACTAATTAATTATGCATTATTAATTTCCCCAGCCTTTAAAGTTTACGTATAAGCGTTAAAAGTCTATATTTCTTATACCTTATATTTATATTCATATTTTTAATGCGCTACAAAAACTAAACGACGTATGTTAGTAAGTAAGTATTATGCGCTTATTTGTGTTGACTGACAATGGAGAAAATTCCTTAATGTAGTTCTCCAATATTATTTGGTCTCTACCTATTATTTTAACACTCTTTTTTTCATTCTTGAACATCTGAAAAAAAGATAAAAAATTTATTAAATATTTAACTAAGTATATTATAATCATTCTCTTTTCAGTATTTAAAAACTTTCTTTATTTTTTTCTTATTTTACAAAACATCTTTGTAAGAATAATAAAAATAAATTTCCAACCAAATAACCGTCGCCGCCGTCCGCCAAGTAAGCAGGTGCTGTGACCTGATAATAGCCTTCTTTGTCCAGTTCATTGCTTGCCTCGGGATCACCAACATATACAGCGACTACTCGCTGTCCTTCAGGCTCTGTTAGGTTATATATCACGTGAAGTCCTAAAACATATTTATTTTGAGGTTTTCTTTTTATAAGAATTTTACAATTTAATTTTCATATATTTTTATTATATTCACGATATACATAGCGGCGTGATGTTAAGATGTATATTAAGGGAGTATATTATTATATAATATATGCAATGTATGCAAATGGATCAATAGCATGCTTTTCATACAACAATTTTTGGTATATAGGCATTTACATACGAGTAATAAGAACACCATGACTTTCTGTACAGCAAATAAATTGTTATAGACGTACACATAATTTTTTATTTTAAATTATATTATAGTTTATACTATCAATAAATAAACAAAAAATAAAATTTTAATTTTAAAATATAAAAATACGACGATGGTAAAAACGATCATACGTTAAACCTTAGTTCAGAACGTTATTGCTAAACGTTAGAATCATTATGATGAATTGATAAATAACATTCATGTACACCGACCTTCCTTTCTTCTACTTCTTCGTCATTAGCCTGCAAAAGTCTGCAGTTGTATATGGCTATCCTCCGTTTTCAATAGGATTTATATCTTAATCATCACGCTTTGTAGGTAGATTGACGAACGCATGCCTGAGTATTTTATGTTTGGCTTAAACAAAATAGTTATACCGCCATCTTTTGAGAACACGATTAGGTGATGATGGCGGATCGTCGTAAACAACGTGAGAAAATCTAAGAATATCCTATCATGATGTTTTTGCGAAACACGCATCACAAATATAGTAATTATTGAGTTATTGAAATTGCTATTGAGAATTTCTTGACAGCAAAATTAATACACTGTATTCGGCCAGAGCATAAATTGGAACCTGGGATTACATAATCAGCAGTCGCACTTACGAGGCTTACTAAGCGAGGCAGTCATAGAGAGTTTTTTTTTTTTATAGGAGATTATTGGAGAGGAGGTAATTGCAGATGCGTTGCCGGCCTTTTAAAAAGGCGTAGGTTCTTTTCTTAAAGGTCCCTAAGTCGTATCGGTCCGGAAAAATAGCTAATGGTAATCGATTCCACAAGGAAGTTGTCATAGAGAGTGCGATAGGAACGATGATTTACCCATGTACTGTAGTTAGAAATTTGCTGTGGCAATTACTACGAAAACTATGGTGCAAGATCGCTGTTTCCTTTTATAAATCTCAACTTTTTATATGACAATGTTGTTCCCTGACAAGTTTATGAAATTATTGCTGCGTTCAGGTTGGTTGATTTACGCTTTTATAAACTTCGTGTGTAAAAAATGTTTAATGTAATTTTTACCAACTTGTAGACGGTCGATCGACATGAAAATTTGCACTCGTGTCAAGGACCGATTCAAATACAAAATTTATCCTATTATCCTGATAATAGAAAAAATCAGATAACATCGGATCAGGATAAAATAAATTAAATAACAGGATCATCACAGCTATATCAATGAGTGTTGTTTAAGTTTTTTTTTTACTCTATTTATTAGTTATTTCGTACGTGATAAAAACATAAACAAATGCTATCTGAAAATTATTTTTCTAAATAGATATGAGAACCTCATATATAATATCGAGTATTCTTTTTAAGGAATAAATTTATGAATCATTTCGCTTAACAAAATATAATCATTTCTTAGCTGTGAGCAAAGTTTGTCTTAGAATATCATATGGCATAATTTATTATAACTTAAATGGAAACTGATTATTAAGGATATAGTTATGATATTTCTTTTCTATTCTCTGTTCTTCATGGCAAACTCTTGGTCATAATAACTCCCTTTTCGCAATACAAAGGTATCGACGATCGCCATTTTGTTTTTTTAGAAGGGAGCTAGAACTTAAGAGAATAGATATAAAGCGGTTGCTATATTAACCACAAACTATCGTAACTAGTTTAAGCAGTGCTTCGATTTCAATACATTATAATTTAAACTCGCGACGTCGAAATTAAACTAATCCGCTAGCGCAAGAGATGTGAGTAAACTCTATTGAAAAGCATTGGATATTTTTTTAATCAGTTAATACATTGAAATATTGATAGAAGGAGCAATAAATGTTTAACGTTTTATTGTTTCATATTATTGTTTCATTCAGAAATATCCTTTTAATTCTTAGCTTCATCCTATTTATCCCACTTCTGTTCATTAAGACCAACAATTTCTTTAGTAAAGATTTATTATAACATCAAACAACTACTTACTATATTTATAAATAAAATAAATAAAAACTAAATTTGACATATTTCCAAAATCAAAAACACTAAAATTCAAGACGCCTGTCAGCAACGTGCAAAGTGCAAAGAAGTTCTATTCAATGTTTAGTGATTTGAGTATTTTACGTTTAGTGACCATCATAGGGCACATTATGTGTAGACTTCTTCACCACCGCCAACTTACACTTTTTGTTAAGTTTAATTGTACTCATATACCTTGTTGTGTAAGAAAAGAGCAGAATTGTATTCAGATATTTATTTAAACGTGTCGAGACTTTAACACTGCGTCAATTTGTCTTTGTCACAGCTCCAAAGCCATTGTCGTGTTTGTTCATTATTTGCCGAAGCATATTTAATGGTATTGGAGTAGTAAAATAAGCTTCTGTTCTAAAAATGTTTGGGGTACTTAAGTATGTACTCTATATATTATTTTCCCTCTAGGAGTAATTTAGTGCAATACATTTTAGGTTAACTGCTAATTTTAAATCAAGCAGACATTTTTTTCAAAAGTACACAGCTGAACATAGGCCTCTTCAAGAGTCCTGCGTCTTAGTATTACCAAATCTATGGAACTCATAATTATTTTTATAAATCAATTTAAAATATTGATACTAGTCGGTGGAATATTTTGATATACCTACATAAATCCATATTCTAACTTTATAAGGGAAAGCAGCAGTGAAGATAATGATGACAATGATGATTACTCAACAATTCAGATAAATTCTTGTTAGTTTAAGATTCTTTCGTAAATAAATATTATTTCAAAAATATCTCTTTTGCTCACTCTACCTAAATGGTTCGAATTGACAGCTATGACGTCACAATATAGCGCTAGGTCAGTCATATGCTTGTTGACAAAACTGCAAGACGTCTGGCACTGTGATAGTTTACCCTCTTGCCAAGCGTGATAATTAAGGCAAATCCTCCCTACCATGGGAGAAGCTGCGATAGCTAAGCTCCAATAGTGTACTTTTACGAGCAGATAAAGACAAAGAAATAGAAGTTTGTACATGTTTCGAGTCATCTAATCCAGCTTACAGTGAAGCAAAATATGAAGACTATAAAACTAACCAGAAACTTGCAGAAGCCATGGTCCTTCGAAAGGAACGGTTGATGTCAGTTCACTAACACTTCTTTCCAATGCTTTTAAAATATATATTCCTTTCAGTTTGAATGTTTCAACAAAATCATAGTAAGGGAATAGCTCGATAATCAACCCTTTTGTAATTGCTGCAAAATAAAAGAAAAATATTATTCATATAATGCTCAAACTCTGGGCTTATTAGCAAAAGTGTTATCATCATCATTAGAATCCATCACAAATATACTGTTTAAAATATTAAGCCCCTTCCTATAAATAGCCACATATCACGGTCCTTAGCTACTCCCTTACATTGACCTTTACATGCAATGTCTGAGTAGATTCAAAATCTTTCTAGTCCGTTGATTGTCGGCTCTTTCATCACATGATAATGTGTCAAACTCTAGTTCTACATTGAATACCTCCTAAAGAACAAAACGAAATTATATATATATATATATATACCTCTCCTGTCCTACCCATGTACTTAGTGATTTTTACCCGGCCGTATGAAGAAATTTAGAAAATATATTTCAAATATCTGGAAGTACGTGATAGAGCCATGCTGCAGCTATATTAATGGTATAGTTGTCACGAATGGGTCGGCTCGACCGGGGAAGGACCACGCTCTCACACAGAATACCAGCGTAAAATGGCACCTTGACACTGCTGTGTTTCGTATGGTGAGTGTAGAGAATAGGAGAACCTTTTTATTTTGCGAATTTAAATGCAGATGCATTTAAATTCGCAAGCGAAGATAGATGAAGATGTCTATGGGCCACAGCAACCACTTACCATCAGGTGGACTGTGTGATCGTTTGTTACCCTTATTCTATAAAAAAAATTTTAGAACCAACCCTTGGACTGGTTGAAATTTACAATGACCGATAAAGGAGCAAAATTCTCCAACCACAGTCTCTTATAAGCGTAGTGTAAGATGACAGCGAGATGGTGTAACTTCTCAGTCTATGGATGCATGTTTTTTTTTTTTCAAAATAACTTACTGTCCACCGTATGGTGGCTACTGCAGTCCATGAACATTTGCAGCCAACTTCAAACAAGAAAGGCTTCACATGCCGCTGATGTCCTCTGAGGACTCAGATGAAATGACTTACAGCCCGTAATTAAACTGGCTGTCTATATCAAGTATACAGTGCAGACACTGCCATTTGTTGGCAGAGATGGTTAAGGGGATGGTATATACCTACGCAGAAAGTGAATACTACCACCACGACTAAAGCTCAAGTGGCTCAGGATCGTGATTTCTGTCAATCTATGGGAGCGTCATAATGTTCAGCAGTGGATTGAAAGGCTATAATCGTAGGTCGATAAAAGGCCTGTACTTACATCCTTTTGGTACTAAAGCATTTATATTGCTACGCTGGACAAATGTTATACAATCGGCTTTCTTGGTTGTTTGCTTTGCCTGAAAAGAAAATCAAAGATTAATAAAAACTTCAATATATTTTTCATGGACATTTTAAACAATCTGTGAAAGTTCATTGAATGGTAATTAGCATTAATAACTTAATTTAATTTACTAGCCGTTCGTGATCGGTCTACTCACAAAACCGACTTTCCATATGAATGAATAAAAGTTCCTTGTATACCCTTAGAGACTAAAGATTAGTGACCAGGTAAGATCAGAAAAAATTTTAGAAACCCTATAGGTTTTCAAAAAAGATGTAATATTTTTTTATTACACTATTTTTAAAAACCTTTAGTTACTAAAAAAAATGCATAATTAAATTGAATGAAAATTCAATTACGTGTATTTTGAATACTTTTTGCAGTTATTATGCGTCGAATGAAATATGTTTTTAATTATGGTTTGAAGCTGATGTCGTTATTATTTGTTCGCGAGATATGAGAGACGGAAAGTTCGCCAGTACTCGAACCTGCACATACACTCAAATGCACTGAAATAATTTTATATATACAAATAAATAAAATTGAAGTGTCTGTTTGTAATGTTAAAATAACAGATTTTTACTAAATGCATATGAAAATAAATACAGTACTTATAACAAAAATATAATTTTTTAAATTTATGTCTGTATGTCTGTCTGTCTGTTTGTTCTGGACTTTCACTGGCAGATAGCTGATTTCATAAGGAGTAACTTAGGCTACTTTTATTTTAGAAAAAGAATTAGAGTTCTGCACAAAAACATAAAAACCCTAACACGCGAGCGAAGTCGCGGGGAACAGCTAGTATATAATAGAATTAAAGCCTAGGAAGCTCAAAACGTGACATTATAATAAAATTTAGTCCCTCAAATATCGGGTCTGTTACAATGACTTCCCAGTAGTAAGTTAAAAAATGTACCAAAACAGTACTACTTAAATTTTATAGCTTTCGGGTATCTGTTCACCCATGGAAGGAATATCCACCACCCCATATCATCCCGTGCGTGTCGTAAGAGGCGACAGAGGGAAATAATCAAGGAGATGGACAGCAGCGTCTTCCTAATACCGACTAAATATAAAAAAGTTGAGAATGCCAACCTGCTTGTCAAGTGTGGTGGCAACTATGGCAAATATACCTCCTATGAGGCAATCTATGGGGAAGGTCTATGTTCAGCAGTGAAGTTTAATAGTCTGTAACGGTAACGGCAGGTATCGAAACGTCGAGAATATAAAATAAGTTAATATACATGTTTAACGTTCACGTAAATACAAGAAAGAAACCATTAAGTATCTATTATGTTTTTTTTTTACTTGTTTTATGCCAGTACTTGACGGCAATATTCGTTATATAACATTAACACTTTTAATAATGGTTTATTGTTTAATATTAATCCTTTATACGGCGTTCAAATATGCAAATTTTATTAAGCTTTCTTACTCGGTAATTTAAAGCGTCAACCAACAGATTGCCCAGTTTGCACTCTCCGTGCGCACAGTCACGATAATCCAGCGTCGATTTAATAGCTCCAACGGGCGTATTTTCGGCTTCGTGCACTAACTTAGCATAAGGAGCTAATTTCTGTTTTACCTCTTCGTCTGCAAACAGTTTTGGAATTATAATTATTAAAATCTGAGTAAAATTTATCTAAAATTTCAAAATTACATAAATATTACATTAAGGTTATAAACTCTTTGACTTATGTGACAACAGCTTATCTTACAAATCGGGGGCCAACGCGGTTTCTGGCTACGAATCCTAGACAAATCTATTATATTAAGTATAATGTAATGATAATATTTTGCTAGCCGATTTAAGCTAGTAATGTGACAATAGCCTAGCGGTTAAGAGTACAACCAGTAAAACCATAGAGTTGTGGGTGTCGATTTCGGTATTGAACCACTCCAAGCACAAGTAAAATACTTGTGCTTGGAGTTCTTTGGAGAGGTTAACGGGGGTACTTAATAGTGTTATACCATTACTAGTATTCTTAAAAAAAAAGCCTTCGAATTTGTAGGTAATATAACAATAAACTACCTGCTTGCTAAGCATAGCAACTAGGTATATAACCATACATCTATAAGTAAGGACAATTCGATGTGAAGTCAAATATCAAGTTTACCTTCCGGTATAGATCTATTCAGCGTTATTGGTTCTCCTTCCCATTTTATCGCATTTCCATTGACGTCGAAATAAACTGAGAGATTGCCTAAAACTTTCGTAAACGCATATGCTTGCACAACGACGACCTGTAAATAATATATTTATTCATATTATATTATAATTATTTATATTAATTTGATCTTACTTTTAAAAAGGTCTTGTTTTTACTTTTAAAAAAGGCTTCGTACAAAGATTTATAGGTTTGAATCACTTGACTTACAACCTGAGTTTGATCACCATTTACGTGTTACTGATAATAATCATTTAATAATAAATGATTTAAATGCTTAGTTTCCACATGCTCGGCTTTTATTTTTTTTTCCTCCATCTAAGTTGTTTAAAAAAATACTGTATTTATAGTTTATATATTATGCGCCATCAAGATATTGAACGCAGAAAACAATTTCCCACTACAAAACCTTCTCAGTAAGAGAGAAGACTATTGCACAGTTATTTTATATATATGTCTATCGATATATAATGGCTGAACCGATTGTAATGAAACTTGACGGGCATTATTCATCAAAATTAAAAAATTCAAATTATTATTCAAAAACTTAGAGATTTTTTTTTGAGAAGCGGAAATTTTGATAATATAAATGGTCTTTGATGTTAATCTTAAATCTCAATAATGCCACATTAATAGATTATACCCAAGCGAAACCGTTGGGGTCTCTAGTATTTAATTTTTAGACATATGAAGTTTGAGCTATCACTGAATACCCGCCACAATTTTCTTAAATGATGTTTATAAACATTATTTACCTGTTTCTTCTGTTCACCATCTGCCTCGATGATCGTTAAATACGGTATCACAAAGGACGCATCTCTGTGTGAGTGACCGCCAACAATTACGTCAACGTATTGACCATGTTCACGGGCCAGTGCTCTGTGGAGTAATGTTGGACATTATGAAACTATATGGACCGTTAGTTTAATATATTACCATAGACATGTTGTATAATTGTTCTGGACTATGTAGACAGATCGGACGATGTGACAATTTATATAGGTACATATTACACTGGTGCAATGTATCGGATATTTATTTAAAGAAGTTGCCCCCCACGCTAGGATTTTCATAAGTATTGTGTGGTGCTTGGTATACATAAATTGCACATAGACTAAACGTGGAACGATTATTTGCATACCATACAAACTCTAAACCTGTTCTATGCGAAATTCAAACTCGAGGCCCAGCAGCATCGCAGCTACCAACCGGTCAAAATCCTATAGTAAAATGTAAAATATACGATTTGTTTATTACTGTAAGCTTAACACTGAATGGGCCGCTCTGCATTATGGCCGAGAGCGGGGCGTTCGGTGTGCAAAGGAACTACATTTATAAATACGTTACAATCAAAGAAATTAAAAAAGAATTCAGCGTTTCAAGATCGACACAGTGATAAAGTAAATTTTCTAATGTGTAAAGAGACCAGCCTAGATTATTGTTGTCAATTTATCATCATTAGCCCTATTAGTTCTGTGTAGGATTACAGTTACAATTAATGTGCAAGAAGCATAAAATTTTGCTTCTTATCTATTTATTTTATATATTTTTCATAATATAACAAAAGAATCGGTTACGAATTCCAACAACGCGAATAACCTCAACCCAGTTGACAAATTAAGCGAAACCAATCAGGGCTTTAAGGTATTGGATCAATTCAACTAATCGTTCTGAATAGAATTCTTCGACGAGAGACAACGTTCACATTTTTACAGCAGTAATAAGTTAATTTCTTCCCACTTTCCCAACGTGTTTTATCAGTATTTTGAAATATTTGTATAGTATTCTCATCTGGTTGAAGAATATATAAATAAATATCATAAAGTAATCTGTTCATTTCCACTAAGTAGAAAATCACTACCATAATACAACTACCAAATAATCGAAAGTTGATCATCACCACGTTCATGGATGTCCTTATACGTTTAACCAACCCACATCCGATGTAACACTTATGCGATAAGATCGGTGATAGGTCAGAATATTTCATCACAGGCTCTGGGACAATCAAAATTCAACTCGAAAACCAAATAATTTTGTAATAATAGGATTAAATAAGTCAGATACAGTTAAATAAACCTCTCAATACAATAACAATCGTTAATATCTCACACTCAAGCAAGATTCACTAGTCTTATCAAACGATTCCTGATCTATTTGAATTACATTTAATATTACTAGAATATGTAAAATAATAGTGTAAATTACTTACATATCAACATCATAGCCGCAATGGGAAAGAAGAATTATTATATCCACTCCTAATTCAGTTAACTTTTCAGCCTCGCGCCTCGTTGCTGTATGAGGATCAGTGAATTCGATGTTACCAGTGAAGGATAATGTCTGTAATAATACCATTAAATAAAATATATTTAAAGAAAATGCACATGACGTTAAGAAAACGAAAAATACATTTTAAAATTATACACTGTAATCTCGATAACTCGAATTTCAAGGGGAATTCAAAAAGCTTCGAGTTATTGAGTTATTGATCCCCAAACACATACAAACATAAGGTGCACAGGTGTATTAATTAGAAAGTTTAATAAACGATTAATTTATTACACGTATACAAAGTGCACACAATAGAACAGAAGCAACAAACATTCCTTTTGGATTTTATTACTATGAGTTTGGGGCATTCCAAGTAAGACGTCATTATATTTTACTTACTTTTATTTACGGTGTCTATCTTTTTAATTCAAGTTATTTAGTTTAACTATGTATTATCAATACCTCGCAGGGAAACAACATTTTGTTCTAGTTACAAAGACTAAATATTTCGAGATATCGCGTATTTAGGGGTTAGTATAGAGCATTACGACTTAACGAGGTTCGAGTCTTCGAGATTCAACTGTTTAAACTCGTAATAAATATGTTCAGATTCACACCAGTCTTTAATCATATATTATGTGCTATGAATGTTACGGCCTACGGTTGCTCCCTTAAAGGATCCAATCCCCCGGGGCCCATCAGCAGAAGACTTCCCGAGCAAACGTAGGTCGGGCCTCCTAAGGCCACGTGGAAGTTCTCTAATTACACTAAATATATGGGGGAGCGTTATACTACGGCCAGTCGACCGGAAGGAATTTGGCGGAGTTCACTTACCTCTATCCAAGGCGACTGGTTCCTCCGGAGTCGGTCAGGTCGCATGTGGTTGTGTAGTGCAAGGGAAAGAATGGTGATGTGGTGTGTATCTGGGTGTGACTGATGGTGATTGAACCTAGACCTTAGCCGTCGGCAGCAGCCCGAGCGTCGACACCGCTCCAACTTGAGGGGGCCTTTCGAGGTTATCCACAGTCACTTTCTTGGTTCACCACGATGCTAGTCACTTAACTCTATCGTACTATTAACTAGCTTACAGAAGCCACTAACTATCGCGGGGTATAAGGTTACCGCACAAAACACGCCCGGAGTTTCTGGGTCAAAGGTCACTACCGTTTCGCGTGGCAATAGATAAATTCTAAATACAGAGGCCGCACTAGCTTATATTGTCGAATGCACTTATACAGATTCTGAGTCGGACCCAATAAGTCCCGGGAAAGGCTATCCAAACAGGGAATGCGCGTTATAATTCCTAGACAGGATATTTACTAGACGCCCTAACTATTCCGCGGTTCCCGCACAAATTAACAGCGTGCAAACATTAGCACATCCGGCCGATGACTGACTCGCTTGCGACCCGCGCGCCACTGTGACGCTCGGAAGAACTTCAGACCGGAATCGCGCCGAGCCGAGTGACATCTGGTGTCGATTCCGACAACAGAGTTTTGCGCGAACAAACCCCCGTCCCGGACATAAGGATTTAGGTCCGCGAGCAAACCGGTCAGCGGGGCAAGGTCGAGACTGCAAGTTGCAAGACCGAATCTACAACCAAACTAGGCCACCTTAGGCAATCTATTAGGTCTTGCAACCCTAATCAACGCCTCAAAGATATCCCTAATGTGGCAAGCCGGAGGGTCAGCCTCCACTGGATGCCCCTCCTGGGCATCGCAGCACTTTAATAAGTCCTGTACTGGACAGAAGTCCGACGACCTCTTTCAAACACCATCTGTGCCCCTATGATTAGTTCCGCAATCCGACCGGATCAGCTCTGCAAACAGTGACGCGACACGAAGCGGCCTCGAGCGGCCTCCTAAGCTTCAGAGCACCCACAAATTCCACATGAACGTTGTCTGTGGAGAGCCGAACGAAACGCACAGATAGTCCCTAGTATGAATTTTCAACAAGTAGGCCTAGCCAGGCCACCCACCATATTATCATTTACTAAAATAGTGCGGCAGCTGATTTCAATCTGATAATCTCCAAAACTAGCTAGCCTGTTAGACAAGTAGTCCTATGCTCATATTTCAACTAATTTTTCAAAAGCATCAATGTTCAACTACAGAATTAATTCAACCAAATTAATCACCGATGCGCATAGGTCAACTTGCAAATTAAACAAAACAATAACGTAAGGGACAGCCCTACTTCTTAGAAAACAAAAATGATTAAACACTATCATAAACATAAACATAATTTTTCAAATAGTGCGCCATTCCATTTCAGATGAATTCAAATTTTCCTTTCAGCAAACAAACGCAACAATCAAATACAGTGATTAAATATATGTACAAAACACATGCAGTAGCATTTAAAGGAGTAGATTAAATTCAATTCTTTTAATTTAAACCGCTACAAATAGGAGAATTTCGCGGAAAGCCCAAAGCAATTTTTAATTTTAATTCAAGTATTTTTTTTGACTAAGTGCTCGACCAAACCAAATCTAATACCCCTTGACAGCGTGATTCAACGCTACAGGGGGACCCTAATCTTCCCACCACCAAGGGGAGGCCACATGGCGTGAACCCGAGATAAATAGAGCACAACCTTTAACAGTTGCCACTCGGGTTGTACGCCTTCACTGAGGCCGTCGGCAACAGAACATTTTGACAAGTGGACCGTTGACGGCTTAAGGCTCAGTGGAGGCGGCCGTGGTGGGAACTAAGGCAGCAGCTAGACAGGGCCGCCTCCATCAAATGGGGAACAGTGGTACACCAGTCGCGGCCACTCAGCTAACGGAAGTGAGAAGGGTCCAGCGGACCGATGAGTGGCCGTGAAGTTCCTCTCCACACGCTGAGGGGGGGTGATGACACCCCCGCCCCTGGGGGAATTACCCCCCGACTGGTCGGGGGAGGGACTCCTTTCAAACTTAGGGGCCTGGTGGCTGGACGGCGGGCGCCGACAGTCACCCTGCAGAGGGCGTGGCTGAGCGCCCCCGCCCGTGGGGGTCGAGGGCCTGGCAGAGCCCCGAGAGGAGATGCCGTTCGCACCCAGGCACAAAACGGCATGGTGATTGCCCTGGCAATGCAGACAGGGCCGTCGATGCGGACAGTCTCGCTGGAGGTGCCCTCCCAGACATGACCAGCACCAGCGGCGCTCCTTGGCGATAGTTCGCCTCGCTGGAACCGGCTTACCTAATAATTTCGGGCACGACGTTACCCGGTGATCAGATGCTCGACAATAGGAGCAGGGGGGGGTTGACGACGACTTGCCTGGCGGGTTCAGCCTCTCACTGGGCACGTCTCGCAAGTCGTCAACGGTGCCCGCCGCGTTCTCGATCTGCCGGCACTGCTCCTCCAAAAACCGCAGCAGGTCATAGAAGGGCGGAATATAGGAGGCCTCGTCCCCGCCGTACCTCTCCTCAAAATGGATTCGCAGGTCGAGAGGTAGACGGGACAGCACGATGCGGAGCAACAAAAAAGCCCATTCGCCCACTGGTAAACCCAGCCGCCTCAAAGTATTACAGGCCACCAAGACTGGATCCAACAGGTCCGGACGCAGTCTGGCCCGGTCACTAAGCAGCGGGAGGCTTAGAAGCTGCTTAACATGCTCGTCTGCAATTCGCCGGACGTTGGCGTATCTTCTGGCTAGGAGGTCCCGAGCAGTCTGGTAGGCGTCGTCCGACAATTTCAAGTGGCCGACGACGCCCAGGGCCTCCCCCTCCAGTGAGGCCAGGAGGTACGCCATCTTTTGGCTCGGGGTCAAGTCACTCCGGGCGTCCACTAGGCTGTCGAAAAGACCAACGAAGGTCAGCCATTCGGAAAGGACCCCGGAGAACTTTGGCAGGTCCAGAGTTGGGAGTCGTCCCAACAGCTCCGGCTGAAGCTGCTTCAGAGAGGACTCGGACAGGTTACTCATCCGAGCTTCACGCGCCTCCTCGGCATACCTGCCTTCAGCCTCGATCAACTCGTCCGTGAGCCACAAGAACTGCTCATAGTCCGCGAAGCAGGAGTCCAGGACTCCCTTCTCCACATCCGAATCCTCGAGCTCAGCGTAAGCCTCCTCCACTGCGGCCCTTCGAGCATCCACCTGCTCGAACCGCTTCATCAAGTTATGGACCCTATCCGGTCGACCTATCAAAGCATGGGCGCTTGTGGCCCAGCGTAGCTCAGTCCGCAAACAACGGATCAGTAGCTTGGGCGATGTCATCACTATTAAAGACAAATTACGACGCGGCTTGAGCACAGTTTACAAAGATAACAAATAAAAAATACAACAAAAAATTAACAGTTAATAAATGCAGTTCCTATCAAATCGCGTTGAATAGAAATTACACAAATACGAACTACTTGCTACGTATCAACCAAATACAAATTAGCACAAAAAAGACACAAATCAAATTAACAAATAACAAATACTAGTGCGATCGAATCAAGTTAAATTCAAATTGCGCAAATACAAATTACTACTATTTAGTTCAAATACAACTTACAGTATAAACGAAGATACACATCACGGTCGATCAACAAAAAATGCCTAGCTCGGAAATCGAACCTTCGATAAGTAATCCACTACAACTCTCCGACAACGATAATTAACCGATTACGTAAAAATAACCATCTACCTACATGACGTATATCTCTAGAAAATCTCCCGCTTGCACAACCTAGGGCGCGGCTTTTCAAATTACCCTCTAACCAAAAAAAAGGCAAGCAACAAAGCAACAAAGGAAAATAATTCTATTATTACGTACAAAAAAAATATTTTTACGTATTACGGACGGGCGTGATTGTAGATGCAAATTAAACCAATCACACCAACGCTCCCTGCCACCAAAATTGTTTAATGTTTATCAAACACTATAGTCGGGATCGACCGGGAATCGAACCCGGAACCGCGCTCTGCTACCAAAATTGTTTAATGTTTATCAAACACTATAGTCGGGATCGACCGGGAATCGAACCCGGAATCGCGCTCTGCTACCAGTTTGTTACGGCCTACGGTTGCTCCCTTAAAGGATCCAATCCCCCGGGGCCCATCAGCAGAAGACTTCCCGAGCAAACGTAGGTCGGGCCTCCTAA